ATGGGATGCACACATAGTAAACATCTTAGGCCCTCATACTAAAATAATGCATATAATAGTTTCTCAAAAGTTAGTTCTGATAATATATTAAAGACCAACATGAATAAAACAGGTCTACTCACAAGTTATTCTATTCATGTGAAACATATAACATGGAACTACGAACCTATTAAGGACAAGTGCAAGAAGTATTCCCCAACAGAATGAAGCAAAATATTATGTGTATATCTATGTGCATGCATAAATAGGTAGATACAGATAGTCCTTGAGTTACAACCATTTGTTCAGTGACTGTTCAGTTACAGTGGTGCTGAATGAATGGTAGTTATGCCTGGTCCCTGAAGTTATAGCCATTGCAGCACCCCCATGGTCACATGTTCAAAATTCGGGGGCTTGGCAGCCTGCCCGCACTTACAACCACAGGGGCATTTCAACTCCCCCTATCTCCCCCCCATCTCTGCCCTTTTGGCTACCCTACATTCACTGGCCCTGCCAGCCTTGCCACCCCCAGTTGACCTTTGCCGTCTTCTTCCTGCTACTGAGGCGTGCCCTGCCTGGCCCTTTGCAAGGCAGCTGCTGGCCGCCCCAGGCCTTCTTCCCATCCCTTGTCTAAATCGCATGCAGCCTTTTTGTGAGGTTTTGGAAGCCTCAGAAGCCTTCCAAAACCTCACAAGACTAGACGTGATTTGGACAAGGCCACACAATTTGAACAAGGGCTGGGTGCAGCCTCAGGAAGAAGGCCTGGAGTGGCCAGCAGGTACCTCGCGAACGGCCAGGCAGGGCACGCCTCAGTAGCAGCAGCAGGAAAAAGATGGCGAAGATTAGCTGCGCGGTGTGAGGCAGCAGGGGTGGTGGAATGCAAGGTGGCCAAAAGGGCAGAGATGGGGGGAGATAGGTGGGTAGGGGGAGTTGAAGAGGAGGCAGTCCCGTACCTTACCAAGGCTCAGGGCTGGGAGGGACCAAGCTGGAGGTGGCTTGGATCAGAGTGGGTCCTTGGCTAATGACCAATGGGATTCGGCTAATGATGGCAACTGGGACTGCCAGGATTGCTGTTGCTAACCAATGCATCATTGAGCTTTACGACCACTTAGCAACGGAAATTCCAGACCCAATTGCCATCATAACTCGAGGACTACCTGTAGTAATGCTTGAGCATGATCAATTAGCTCTATAGCAAATAACTAATTGTTGAGAGATTTTGCCAGCCAGGATCTAGTATCCAGACATCAATCTCCATCATAAATGCCGTCCCTCTTTAGCAGGGATGTCTAGCTCACCAAGGTGCTCACTGGAAATGAGAAGACAGGCAGTTCTAAGAAAAAAATCCCACCCATTCCTGTTGGAGTGACCTGACTGATGGATGGTTTCCCAGGGAAGGCAGGAAAGCAAGAAGAGAAATTTCACCTTGCCTCCAGCAAAGGGTACATTCACAATTCACTATTTGGCAGTGGTTCAGGACAAAGGCAGGACAAGGATTGGCAATGGGGACAACAAATGTTATGCTGGCCTTGTGGATAAATAGCACTTTAACTCAGTAGTTGGGAAAGGCATATACGTAAATGCCAGATGCGTATGAACCATACTCGGAGTTCTTAATGCAGAAATCTAGATTGCAGCCCTCTCCTAGGCTATGCCCTTTAAGAAATATCCAAGATACCTGGGTATCTTCACAATAGAGTTCTTTACAAACCACAAGGCATAGCCTAGGAGAGGGCTGCAATCTAGATTTCTGCATTAAGAACTCCGAGTATGGTTCATACGCATCTGGCATTTACGTATATGCCTTTCCCAACTACTGAGTTAAAGTGCTATTTATCCACAAGGCCAGCATAACATTTGTTGTCCCCATTGCCAATCCTTGTCCTGCCTTTGTCCTGAACCATTGCCAAGGAAATACTAACATCTGGGAAGCAGCATGCTATACTGCTAGGCACTAAAATCTGCATAAAAAGAAGGGTTGAGCCTCATCCTGGGGCAAAAAGAAGGGAAGAACTGAAGACTTGCTCAACACCGCACTTGCAGAAATTCACCCAATCCTTAATATATTACAATTGCTACTACAGTCAGCTTCAACACACCAGCGGCACCCTTCGCTTAAAAACCCCCATGCAGTAGGAGACTTGATAACGCTGGACTACTCTAGTGAGTTGATGTATACCACTTCTTTCCAACTTTTAACTGGCATAGTAATAACAGCTTGTCTCACAGACCTGGCATCATTCAGTCTCTTAGCCTTGTTTTTGTTTTTGTTTTTTTTGCAACACATATACACACAAAAAAAGCAACATGGCTAAGAGACTGAATGATGCCTGGTCTGCAAGATAAGCTGTTATTACTATGCCAGTTAAAAGTTGGAAAGAAGTGGTATACATCAACTCACTAGAGCAGTCCAGCGTTATCAAGTCTCCTACTGCATGGGGGTTTTTAAGCGAAGGGTGCTGCTGGTGTGTTGAAGCTGACTGTAGTAGCAATGCTGAAACTCAGCCACATGTATGGCCAAGATAACTCTTTAAAACTGTTAGAAATTTAGAAAGCTCATTAAAAAAAAAAAAAGATTACTATCTCCTCCTTTAGCTTTATTTTGAGTGGCTGATATACCACTCCTCAATTATAGCTACATCAAACTGTTACAGGGTCCTGTCCCAAGGGGAATCTAGTAGGGATACAGAGACCCCATCAAGGAAACCTTCTCAATTGTGTGGTGTTATTGTGGAAAGGGTTGTTGTGGAATTTTTGCCAAAGACAGGAGCACAATGCTGAGGAGAAGAACAATTTTTGCCAAAGACAGGAGCACAATGCTGAGGAGAAGAACAATTTTTGCCAAAGACAGGAGCACAATGCTGAGGAGAAGAACCATGTTTATTGCAATGATCACTGGGTGCTTGCTTTCAAGAAAGAGGGACCCTGAACAATAGAAAAGCATAGAATTTATACACTTTTAAGGTTGCTAGGCGGGAAATCTGAGGGCTCTGATTGGAGGATAGGTTTGGATAGGTGTTAAATGGGGGATAAATGCCTACTGTGAGATAAGAACCAGGCAAACCCTTAAGCAGACAGGTGATGGCCTTCCCATTGTTTCAGTATGATAGGGTTAAGAGTGCTATTTTTGGCAGCAGAACCTGGTCACTCTTGGGTCATGCAATAGCTTGGAGCTAATCCAGTTTTGCATGAGCAAAGAATGGCAGGAGGAAGTGGAGAAAAGAGATTGCAGGAGAGGCAAGCAGGAGGGGGGAGAGAAAGAGAGGCAAGGGGGAGATGGGGGTAAAGAGGTTGCTGGAGAGGCAAGGCGGAGGGGGAGAGAGTGTCCAGCTTTATTTTTATTAATTTTCCATCACAGGGTTTACTGGAATACTCATGTGTTGAATGATGTGCATTTCTAATGCTTGAACGGAGCTAGTGATTTTGTATCAAATCTCCACATTCCAGAAAAAAATCCCCAAAACATTCTCTATTTAAGTTGCTACAGATCTGTGATGTGTACCCTTCATTCCACTACCCCCACTTTTGGGAGAAGTTGTATTCATGTGATGAGCCTGTTAGTCACTGGTAGATTCCCAGGGAGTGGCTTAATCTTTAGAAATAGGGCAAGGGAAGGCAAAACATGACACTGACTATTCATCAGCCAATCAACATAATCAGAATTCTGTATTTTCAGTGCCCTCACTGAAACTGCATTTCCTTAGCTATTCAGGCCAGCCCTTATTTCACTACAGTAATTACAAGGTACACCAAGGAATTCAGGTGAGGGAAGACTCTACATGAAGCTGTATTCCTTACACTTCTGCCACATTCCAGCAACAAAAGAATCATGAAATTTAAAATGTAATACTAATCTGAATAAAAGTCAGATCTATGCAAATCCCCATGAACTGTCATGATTTTTTTACATGGCATCCATCTGATATTATCAAATTGCACATCACAACCAACAGACCATTAAAACCACAGATATATAGTTTTTGCACTACCATGGATCTTCACCATGTTTACATTAAAGGAACAGATCACATCTGCCTGCAAAGAACTGAGCCATAACAGCTGGTATTTTTGGTATAATAACGTGACTGTGAGGCTTTAGTCTTCACGTTTAGATGGCACCCGCTCTGAAATCGCCATCAAAACACAGAACATGTCCATCTGGCTCTGCCCTAGGAAGAAGGCTCTGGCAAACCACTTCCGAAGAACAGTTGCCTTGAAAACTGCAAGGACTCGTCCAAG